TACCATAGTGGTTACGAATCAGGCTGCTAACCTCAGGGACGGCAGCTCAAAACTACCAAGCTGTTCTGCAGGCGAAAGATGAGGCTTTCTGCTCCCATAAAGATTTACAGCCTCAGAAACCCTGTACAGGGTTGTTGCTATGAGTTGGAACTGACTCCACTGCACATAACACACCACACCACCACCATATGGGTTACAAGTTAATATTGGGAATTGTGATTTGATACAAGGGGAGTTAGATATCCCCAGGTAAATAGGTTTCTCGTTAAGGTTTTGAAGAGTATGGGGCCTTAGATGGAATCCTGAGGCCCACCTAGAACCTTCTCAGTTGGGACATTACCATTTGAAAAGACATGCAGACTAACCCAAAACTGCTTAGGAGAACAGAAGATTCTTATTAAAAGAATGGCCTGAAGAAAAAAGGTGGATTGTTTGGCTGTTTGAATTGCATGTACACTGTTTTGGAGACATCATGGCAAGAAAACAGTCAGCCCATCAGGGAAAAAACCCTTCTAAGACTAAAACTTAATGGGAACCCATGAACATTCTAGTATGCTCGATGGTGACCACCTGAGTGAATAGAAGTGGGGAAATGCAGTAATGGAGACATAGGCTGAGTTTGATCCTGTTCCACTGATACCCACTGACCTTGAGATGAGAGCAGAGGATGGGCTGGCTGGTTTGAAGTTTAAGAAGTGTTAACTCCTGAACCCATGGGAGTTGAATTAGCCCTTGGGGGCTAGAGCTGAGAGTGAAGCAGCCAAATGATCTGAACTGTAGGAAGGTGTGCATAAACTCCCAAACTTGCAGCTAATACCCATCTGACCTACTCTGGATCAGAACTTGACCAGCTCAAGATCAAGATGTCTGATACTGTAAGCAAGTGTAAATTGCTACAATTTGATAGACTTTTGTTTATGGATTCAGTTGCTCAAAATTCCAACCAGAAAAGGAGGATTCTTCATACAGGGACAACCTTGTTTCCTCAGTGTACTGGGTTGGTAAGGACAAGAAATTTAGATAAAGGGGCCATAAAGGTATGAAACTCTGGTAGCACAATGGTTATGAATTGGACTGCTAATCTCAAGGTCAGCAGTTCGAAACTACCAGCTGTTCCGTGGGAGAAAGATGAGACTTTCTGCTCCTATAAAGATTTACAGCCTCAGAAACCCTGTACAGGGTCTCTATGGGTTGGAATCGACTCGACAGCACTTAACAAGAACAACAGAGGTATGAAGTGGCTGGCTTACAAGGTTTTATGAGTGTGCTTAGTTTCACAATGAGGGGGTAAGGAAGAATCCCCAACTGGATAGTTTTACTCTTCTCCACACGGATCTGATGAAAGGGGATAGGGGATGATGTTGATAGGATTTTATGATTCAACTGGGAATAACTGTTAAGCAAGATTAATTGTGATTGTCACAACTGTAATTGTAGAAGGTAAGTAAGTAAAGGTGGGGATTAGTTAATCTTTCATTTCAGGAACAGACAATTCCAGGACCATGAAGAAGGCAGAATTTGAGTGGAGTGAGAGATCCCTACCTAGAAAACCAGCAACAGCAGAGATGATGGCAGAGGTGATGGCATGGAGAATGAGAACAGCTACAGGCTCTAGCTCATGGACTGAAATATAGAACAGCCGTAGGCTCTAGGCTCAGGGATAGGAGGCTGATTTGCATAATGTTCCCTTTGGACATTTAAATATATATTTTTGTTCTGTATGTGTATATTACACATTTTTGCTTTATTTGTGAAATATAAAATGTAAATTGGGAGTCACAGGGAGTAAGTAGAATAACTGTTGTTGCAAGGAAGGAACTATAATCACTGAGATGAAACAAAGTGTATAATTTATTGAATATGAGCTGATGATCTTGTCTGTAAACCTTAACTCAATTCACAATAAAAAGTGTAAAAAAAAATAAAATAAAAAAAATTATGGGAACAATGTCCTAAAGAAATAAGCAGTTTACAAAGAACTCATTTAAAAAAAGGAGTACATGATGTTAAGATGAAGCCCACAGCAGCAGATCACCCACATCAATTTGTGAGAAAACAATCTTGTTCATGCCTTAATTGAAAACAACCAAGGATAAAAAGCATTGTTAGTTTACGATAAGTATTTGGCTACAAGTTCGGTTTAACCGCAAGGGTGGTAGTTCTAACTCGCCAGCTGCTCCTTGGAAACCCTATACAGGGTTGCTATGAGTAAGAATCGACCTTGATAGCACTAAACAACAACACAATGATGAAAAGCAGAAACAATAGTCTCAGACATCTCAAATGTTTTAGCTGATACAATTCTAACTGGAAACGTAAAGTCAAGCAAACTTAAAGTCATGTAGCCAAAACTGCTGCTTTCAGCAACTACAGACAAGAGCAGAGCTTTCAATGGAAATTTTAAATTAGTGGGATCAAGTCCCTGTAGCATTTCTTGGAAGCATTAACAGGAAATGAAATAAGGCTCTCCCAGTACAATCCTGAAGATAAAGCACTAGCAAAACAATGGTTACCATGGCAACGGTGCAGTTAAAGCAAAATGGATCAGTCAAGAGCAAAGATCGGGACAACACTATTTTGGGGTGCTCAAGGTATTTTGATTTTTTACTTTTTCAAAGGCCATATAAGGGTAACACTACTTATTATGAGAGTGTTTTGAGAGAGTTTAGTCAAAGCTATAGCAGAAAAATGCCCTGAAATGCTCCACCAGAGTTCTTTATCATGACAATAATCCTAACTCACTCCTCTCATCAAACAAGGGCAATTTTGCAAGTGCTTTAGTGAGAAATCATTAGTCACTCACCTTACATTCCTGATTTGGGTACTTTTGACTTTTTTGTTTCCTAATCTGAAAATGGAGTCCTATTGTGGCACTATCGGATAAGCATTGGACTGCTAACCGCAAGGTTGGCAGTTCAAACCCATCAGCCACTCCTTGGAAATCCTACATAGGATAGCTATGGGTTGAAACTGACTCGACATCACTCAATATCAACAACAATCTGAAAATATCTTTAAAAGGAACTCATATTTCTTCAGTTAATAATCCAAAAAAAGACTACATTGACATGGGTAAGTTCCCAAAACTGTCAGTTCTTTAGAGATGGACTAAATGGCTCCTTTCATTGCTTACAAAAGTATCTTAAACTTGATGAATTATATGTTGAAAAATAAAGTTTGTACATTTTACTTTTGGTTTTTAATTCCATGGAAAATTTTAACAACCCTCAGATAGTATGCCTCTTAGTATATGCCTCTTAATTTACCCAAAAGTTGAACACTACAAGCCACTATCACTGTTGAGAGCTTTCTGTGTAATTCTGGAAACACAATAAAAGCATCTTAATTTTTATTTTTCTAATTCTCTGAAGTCATGTCAGTCATACAAGGTTTGATTATCAATTTCAGTAAATAATTGGTAAAAGAGGGGCAATATTTTCAAAATTTTTAAACAAGCTAAATCATATGTAACATAAAAGAAAAAATAAATGCAAGACATTAGAGTTTAACTTTTTAAAAACATTGAATCATTTTGTTTGTAATGGTAAATTAAACTGATGAACATGATTAATATAACTTGCAAAGCCAACTTGTGTAGTTAAGAAGACTGAAGCAACAAGTAACCCAACTAAAAATCATACACAAGATGCTAAATGAACAGTTAAACCAATCACTTATATCATGCAGCTTCTTACAAAAAGTCAAATTGCTATGGTCTTTTTAGTGCTCACTTTTACTCATATTTAGAACTTTTAAAATTTGCTCATTTAAAAACAAATACCATGAAGCTGCACTTGTGTATTGTCAGTGGTCTCACACAACGGTTTTCTGACTTTGTCACATATACTCTGTATTCTTTATCATTACAAAGGGGAAAAATAAAGAAAAAGGTGGGTTTCAGAAGATTCCATGAAAGTAATAAATCCTCTGACCACAAAAAATCAGTGACAGACAACCAATATTTGTTGTTGTTAAGTGCCGTGGAGTCAGTTCCGACTCACAGTAACCCTGCATAGGGTTTCCGAGGCTGTAAATCTTTATGGGAGCAGAAAGCCTCACTCTTCTCCTGCAGAAAGACTGGTAGTTTCAAACTGCCTACACCTTGAGGTGAGCAGCATCATTCGTAACCGCTATGCTACCAGACAACCAATATAAATTACTGAAAAGCTTAACAGTGTGGTATAATACATTTTTTTTTTTTTTACTTAGAAACCCATGTACTTTCATACAGTTTTATTGTTAATATTCATGCTTTTATGAGTTTTTTTTATTACTCTTGTTCAAAGTTCTCCCATAAATCCCTGAAAAGTCACAAATATGTCTAGAGCCAAAAGTAAAGTAGAAGTGTGAAACCCATAAAAGTGTATGTTTTACCTTTGTAATAAATATATTTGTTGTGTGGTTCATTTTTCTAAATATGTATAAATAATCCCATTAATCTGTGAAAATTAACATCCATACTGGCTTTACAATGTCTCAAATCTTTAGAGAAATATCTGATTACTTATCAATATAAAGAAAAATGAATAAATTTTATATTTGTATTTAAACTAATAGCTGTAAACAAAGTAATATTTACTAAAATAGAGTTTGCACTTGTTGTTGTTGTTGTTAAGTGCCGTCGAGTCGGTTCCGACCCATAGCGACCTTGTACAGGGTTTCCGAGGGTGTAAATCTTTACGGGAGTAGAAAGCCTCATCTTTCTCCCGTGGAACGGCTGATAGTTTCGAACCACTGACCTTAAAGTTCGCAGTCCGATTCGTAACCACTACGCTATCAGAGCTCCTTAATTTATACTAAATCCTACTTTGATTTATACAAGTTTTTCATCTTTAATTTTTGATTACACATGCAATTTTTACACACATTATCAGCATATACCAAACTGAAAAATGATATCCAAGCCAGATTGTAATTTTAAAATAAAGAACCTCTAAATACACAGTAATGTACAATGTATAAAATTTCAATAAAACACAGGTATAATAGAAATGTTAGTCCTATAAGACCGAGCGATATTTACAAGCAAACATGATCCATACAGCACATGCAGATTCAGGGTATGTAAATACTCGGACACGAACTGCCAGTCGCACCTGGTCTCCACGGCAACAGATTATTTCCTCACAGAAAGGAGACCTATATGAGGAAGAAAATTTATTTAATTTAGAAATGAATAACCCTTACTTTATTATTCCCAAGTATAACAACAAAAAATCCCCAAACCCATTCTTATCAATTTCAAGTAATGGACACCTCATGGGCATCAGAGAACTGTGCTCCATAGGATTTCAAGCCTGAGCTTTCAGAAGTACATCACTAGACTTCTCTTCTGAAGTAACACTGAATCAGTATTTAAAACAGATTTTTAAAATTCGGTCTCTGCTACCAAAACTCTGTAGTTTTGGCCACGCTGTTCAAATTATAGGCTAGCTCTTCACAGTCTATAAATGTTAAAAATACCATACAAGTTCAGGGTTTCTCAGTTGAAGCTATGTCATAATCACTGGAAAATCTGTCAATATGTGAGGGAGCTTCCAAAGTTCATGGAAAAACAGAATCACAAGGCTGAGCCAAACATTATCTGCACTCGGTTCTATTATAATGCACATCCATGTCCATGCCTGATGACAACATTGAGTGTGCACATGAAATGATTCTGTTGATTAGATGAGTGGCAGTGGACTAAATCATTTGCAAATTAGCCATGGTTCTGCCTGTGAAATAATCCACAACACACTTGGGTTTTGAAAAGTTTGTGCATGATGGGTATTTAAACAACTCACAGAAGAGTATACACAGAAGTGTTTGGCCATCTGCAAACAAATTTTGGAACAACTCCAAGAAAGGTACATGTTTTTTTAAAAAAATATCGTTACTGATGACCAGACATGGATTCATCACCACGAGCCTGAGTAAATGGCAGAGTACAGAATGGAAACATCCTCAATTATCAACTAAGAAAAAATTAAAAAGTCAACACTCAACTGGAAAATAGATGTTTACTGTTTTCTGGGATCCTCACGGCCCCAGTATTGGAAACACTATCAGGAAAAATGTTCAACAATCAACAGTGCTAGTTACAGTGAGATGTTAACTGAAGAGTTGAAGCCTAAATTTTGGATTAAACATAAAGGAATGCTATCCAAGGGTGTTGTGATCTTCCATGACAATGACCATCCTCACAACTCTGCCCATACTGTTGATCTTGCTCCATTGAACTTTCACTGTTTGGTCCCCTGGAAGCAGCCCTTTAACAATGAAGATTCACCTCTGACAAAGAAGTGATGACAGAGGTATATTTGTGGCTCACATCTCAGCCTAAAACATTTTAAAATAAGGAATACTAAAGTTTATTGACACATGGTTGCTATGAACTGGAAGCAACTTGACAGCACATAATAACAACAGTCTCATTAGGGTTCCTTAAAAAAAAAAACAGAACTTTTCACGCCACGAAAAAAAAATTTTTTTTTGAGGTCAGGGATAATCATCAAAATTTTAACAAAATTTAAGTGGACATCTTCCCAAATCAAGGCACTGAAGCTTTGGAACAAGTATAAAGAAATGCCACTCCACAAAAGAAAACCAAAAAAAACAATTTTTGATGCATCAAAGTGTTTTAAGGACGCTCTAAAAGACCTCAAAGATTAGCCAAGAGAAGGAAGACCATCAACTTCAACAGAAGAAGCAACTGTGACTACAGTCCAGAAACTGGTGGAAGATCATAGAATTACCTCAGACGTGAGAGCAAATTTTCCGCTCAATGGATACCGAAAGCATTACACAAAGATTAACTAGCTCTAAGAGCTATCTTTTCATTATTTTGTTTTAAAACAAGATTGAAACTAATGACAATTTTACGTAACAAATCATTCTGGGGATGAGTCTTGGATTTACAACAGAGAACAAGGTCCAATCAAAAGTGGCTTTCCAGAAAGAGTCCCCACTAAATAGCTGTCATATTGTCTAGATGGGTCTGGTGAAAAGAGATGGGGATAAGATTCCTAAGATTCAATAGTGAATAATTGTTATCATGACTAATCACAACTGTCACAATTGTAAAGGTAGAAGTTTTATAACAAAAAAAAAGGGAGTGGTTAATCTTACAGTCCAGAAACAGAGGACCCTAGGACCATCAAGAGAGGAACACATAAGCAGAATGCCAGAATGTGGGACCTTATCCAGAGAAGCAGCAGTGCCAGAGATGGAGGCAGAGATGGGGGCATGGAGAGGGGGAGTGGCTGAGGACTCTAGATTAATGGACTAATAAAGAGAAGGACTAAGAGCTGGTGGCCAGGAGCAGACTTTCAGAATGTACCCTTTGGAGATGTAAATTATTATATATGCCTGACTGGATTTTTCTGTTTCTTAAAAAAGCTAAAGTGGTTAGAGAGAAATACTGTTAACAGATGGTACATAGAGGGGATTATAATCAATGTAATGAAACAAGTATATGATTTGTTGAATGTAAAACTGATGATATGCCCTATAAACTTTCACTCAATCCACAATAAAAACCTTAAATTAAAAAATTAATTAAATTAAATTAAAAAATATATACTTGTCTGAGCAGAGATGGTGGCAGAGGCAGTAGCATGGGGAGACTTTTGGAGACTCTAGGCTCATGGACTGAGAAAGGCTATGTGCCTACAGGTAGGAGGCAGGCTTGCAGAATGTGCCCTTTGGGCATTTAACTGAATATATATTTTTTATTTTGTATGTGTACATCAAAATGTTTTGCTTTGACCATTTATGAAATATAAGATGTAAATTAGATCCACAGGGAGGAAGTAGGATAACTTGTTGCATTGAGACGAAACAAAGTATATAATTTGTTGAATGTAAAGCTGATGATCTTGTCTGTAAACCTTCACCCAATTCACAATAAACAATTGAAATAAAAAAAGAGGCTTTCCAGGGAGATCTATTGAGTCAATTAAATTCAAGACTGAGAGGTGATTATGTTTTGGGATTCCAATGGGATAATCTTGATAGCATTTCTCGAGACAAACAGGACAATCACAGGGGTGTAATATGAAGAAGTTTTAAGAAAATGGAAAACTGCATTGATGACAAAAGGCTAAGAAAGTAGCATTGAGGAATTTTTTCCCATGACAACGCACCTGCTTATTCTTTAAGAGTTGTTGTTGTTGTCAGGTGCCATCGAGTCGGAACCGACTCATAGCAACCCCATGCACAGCAGAACGAAACAATGTCCGATCCTGGGCCAACCTCACCACCGCTGCCACACTTGAGTCCATCAATGATGCCACCTGGCTGATCCATCTCGTTGGGGATCTTCCTCTTTTTCTCTGACCCCCACCTTACCCAGCATGACATCCTTCTCCAACGATTGTTTCCTCTGGACAATATGTCCAAAGTAGGAGAGACGAAGCTTAGCCATCCTGGCCTCCAAGGAGCACTCTGGCTGCACTTCTTCCAAAACAGATCTATTGGTTCTTTTGGCAGTCCATGGCACTTTCAGTATTCTCCTCCAACACCACAACTCAAAGGCATCAATTCTTCTATGATCCTCCTTAATTCACTGTCCAGCTTTCGCATCCATATGAGGCTATTGAAAACACAATGGCCTGGGTCAGGCACACCCTAGTCCTCAAGCTGACATCTCTGCTCTTCAACACTTTAACAAGTTCCTGTGCAGCAGATTTGCCCAGTGCAATACGTCATCTGATCTCTTGACTGCTACTTCCGCAAGTGTTGATAGTTGATCCAAAAAGAATGAAGTCCTTGACAACTTCAATCTTTTCACCATTGATAAGAATGTTGTTTATTGGTCCAGTGGTGAGGATTTTTGTTTTCTTGACATTGAGATGTAATCCATATCGAAGGCTGTGCTCTTTGATCTTCATAAGTAAATGTTTCAAGTCCTCTTCACTTTCAGCGATCAAGGTTGTATCATCTGCATATTGCAGGTTGTTAATGAGTCTTCCTCCAATCCTGATGCCACGTTTTTCTTCACAGAACCCAGCTTCTCGTATTATTTGCTCAGCATACAGGTTGAATAAGTATGGTGAAAGAATACAACCCTGTCTCACACCTTTCCCAATTTTAAAACATTCAGTGTTTCCATGTTCTGTTCGAACAACTGCTTCTTGGTCTAGGTACAGATTTCTTAGAAGTACAATGAAGTGTTCTGGAATACTCATTCTTTAAGAGTAGCAAGGGCTATTTTGTGTTGGGAAACCTTTCCCCATGCACCCCACATGCCTGACGTTAACCACTTCAGATTTCTTTTTGTTCCTAAGAGTAAAAGAACATTTGAAAGGAAAACCGTTTGGGTCCCTCACAGATGACCAAACTGCATTTTAAAGAACTGTAAATCGAAGAGTGAAGAATTCTTCAACTCCTTGCTTGGTAATGTTAGCGGCTTCCCCCATCCTTTCTCCAACTCGGCAGCTGGTCCATGTACTGAGTTGCAACAAAGAGCCTTTTGGTGAGCCAAGCAGGAGCCCGAAACAGTCATTACTTTTTGAACATTTACCACCGGGGGAAAATGGTTGAAGCCCTTCATCCTGGAAAGCTCTATATTGGAGGGCTCAATATAGAAACAAATGAGAAAAGACTTGAAGACAGTCAGTATTTGGCAAATATGGATGAACTATCTAAGAGTTCTTGAAGGAACATTGTGAAACCAAGAAATCCAGAGGATTTGCTTCTGCCACCTTTGAAAACCCAGATTTCAAAGATGCAGCCAGCAATATGGATGGAAAAGCTATCAAGATAGAACAAGCCACTAAATCAACATTTGTAAGTAGCAGACATGCACTTCCTCCACCCCCAAGAACCAGAGTCTCACCAAGAAGTCTTAGAGGAGGCAGTGGAAGAACCAGGATGTGGCATGTGGAAGGCACATGGATGATGGTGGTGGCTATTCCATGAATTTTAACAAGAGTGCTTCCAGAGAACCATTCCAATTATAAGAGGACTTCCTCCTAAAAGATTAGCCCCTTCAGGACCAGTTTTCAGTAGCCATGGAATAGAAGGCAGAGCCCCTATATTGTGTGGAAGAGATAATTATGGGGGCCCACCATGAAGGAAAACCCTGCCTTCTTGTAGAGTTATTTATCTGTCACCAAGAATTGATGGATATTCTACTTAAGACAGTTGTTCAAGCAGGCATTACCCAAGTTCTCCTGGTACAATGCACCTCCATTAAGACAAGATATTATACATATTGTAATCATGGTCATTCTAGTTCACATGACTATTCAGATCATCCAAGCTGCAGCTCCTACAGAGATTCCTGTAAGAGCTATGACCCTGCAGTTAACTCATGTAATGTTCTACCTACATGAAGGCCCCACCACCTTATGGTGGAAGCAGTACCTATGATTACAGCAGCGCACATAATAGATATGGCAGAAGTTGAGACAGTTCCTAAAGCAGCTGAAGTGATCTTTACTCAAGTGGCTGTGATCAGGATGGCAGAAGATAAAGAGGGTGGGAACACTTCTATGGAAAGAGGATACCTCCTCCATGTGATTCTTACAGCAGTTCAGGCCTTGGAATACCAATAGGTGGTGGCTGTAAAGGAAGCTAATCTGATACAGGGAGAGGCAGAATCAGATACTAAAAGCAAACAAAACTTTGAACCAAAATCCCTTTTAAAGAAACAAATAAAAATTGGAGCTTATTCTGTCATAACTACTCAAAAGGGCTATTAAAAGGAAAATTGTGTTATTTAAAAACTTTTTTTTTATATTCTTCTGAGGAAAAAGTAAAACCTATTTAATTTTATTTGATTTTATGACATTGCTATCAACAAGCAAATGTTAAATGTGTAAGACTTGATTTGTGTACTAGTGCTGTAATTCTTCTAAGTGTCCCTGAAGGCCATTTTCTATTGGACTCTTTCTAGGAAATGAGGCAAGCAATACTAGTTAAGATCTTCCACAAACATCTAAAATGTAGAGATGAATTATTCTGCCTGTATAAGCAAACTAGATATCAGAAGGGTGGTTAGTTTTATTACTCTTAAGATTTCAAGGTATCTTCAAACTGAAATTTCAGTATTCTCAGTGTGCAAAACCTGAGATGAGATGCTTAGGTACGGAAAATGCTATTCACCCAGTAAATCCAAAATGAAAGGTTAATGCTGGCCATATATTGCTTTTCTGAAATTTTCTTGGTAATCTGCAAGAGCCTCCTGCTTTCCCCTCCCCCAATTAAGGCAATTTAAGTGAGTGTTTAACAATTACAGAATACTAAATAAAAAGTTTGACTGAAACAAGAACAAAATTCTTTGGCAAAAGGTTAGACAGATGGAAATACTGCCTTCAGCAGTGTACTTTGTTGTTGTGTGTGCTATTGAGTCGGTTTCAACTCATAGCAACCCTGTATAGAGTTTCTGAGTAGTGGCTGGTGAGTTTGAACCATTGACCTTACGGTTCAACCCGACCTTGCAGTCTAGCACATTAACCCATAGTGCCACACCAGGACTCCTTCAGGAGAGTACAGACTTTAGTAAGGTCTGTCTAGGAGTGTATATACCTACCAAAATGAAGGATATGCTGAGAAAATCCCTTCACAGTTTGATATACTTTTTAAATAAAAGTTCCTAATTTTGTACCAATCATATATACCAGAACTGCATTTCAGACCTAATGCACCACAATCTCTAGGGCAGGAAAGATAAATAAAGGATTACTTTATAAACTTCCCCAGCTGACGCTGATGTCATTCCTGAAAAACCACTGGACTAACTCTAAGAGTTCTAGGTTAAGATTCCACAAGTTACACTTTACCGAAGACATGTAGCAAATGCACGCCTTGCATTTCTATACACAAAATGTATCGGGAACCCTTTAAATGTGTGCCCATCAGGTACAGCCCTTCTTATGGCATCTTGAAATTCTTCATTGCCTGCAGATATACTTGTTGTACGCTCAAATTCATAGGAAGCCAAAGCTGGTGATAAAAGATAGGAAAGCTGGTCTTCCCAAACTGTAGTGAGGCCAAGATCCTATAGCAATCAAGAAAGAGAGAGAAAGAGAGAGAGAAAAAAGTGATACACATTAAGACACCAATTGTAATAGAAGTGTTGGATATTTTAATGTATGTCAATGAAAGATTTTTTGAATGACATTTTATTAAATTCCTATTATTATAAAACGGAGTCTTGGTGTGGCGCTGTAGGATAAGCTGGATCACAAGGTCATTTTGAACTACAAGGTTGGTTGTTCAAACTCACCAGCTGCTCCTAGGGTTGCTATGAGTGGGAACCAACTTGAGAGCACTTTAACATTATAGGAATGAATAAAAAAATTCTTTAAAAAAAGGAACCATAGCATTCAGGTTTTACTTACAGAACTTGTCAAAAAGTATCAATATAATCATAAAAATCCCAAATTCCATACTTTAAAAATATTATATTATATTTTAGTGATGGTTTTACACAGTAGATTAGGTTCTATTCAACAATATCTACCTATATGGTTCAGTGATTGGTTACATTCTTCACCATGCGTGAACATTCTCAATATTTCTGTTCTGGTTGTTCCATGTGCACTAATTTAGTTTCACTGTCTCCTAACAGGCTCATCTTTGTTTTAAAGTAATAGCTGACTGCTGTTTGGTCTCATGTAGATGACTTTTTAAAGAAGCACAGTATTCACAGGTAATATTATTTATTCTGTGAGTTAATCAGTTATTTAGCCAAAAGGGTTGTTTCAGTTTAAGGTTTAAAGATATCTCAGGGAAATTTTTGGAGAGTCATTCAGTCTCAACTGGTCCCATTAAGTCTGGTTGTTTTTCTAAGGTATGAGGTTCTGTTCCAAATTTCCCCCCCATTCTATCAGGATCCATCTATTGTAGTCCTGATAAGAACAATCAGTAGTAATAGCCAGGCACCATCTAGTTCTATTCTCAGGGAAGATGACTCAGTGAGGCAGAGGTTCATGTAAACTATTAGTCCTATAGATTAGTTTCTTCTTTGAGTCTTTGATTTCTTTCTTTCTCTTTTGCTCTGGATGAGTGTTGATCTTGTTAAGTGCTACAGAATAGGTTCGGACTTATAGCAACCCTGTATAGGGTTTCCATGGCTTTAAATTTTTGTGACAGCAGAAAGCTTCATCTTTCTCCCACAGAGTGGCCTATAGACTCAAATTGTGGACCGTGTGGTTTTCAGTCCAGTGCTTATTGTACAGAGCCACCTTGCTCCCTCTGGATGAGTACAGATCAATAATTGTATCTTAGATGGTTGCTTACAAGCTTTTAAGACTTGAGACACTACTCACCAAACTAGAATGCAGATGTAAACTTCATGAACTGTATTATGCCAATTGACCAAGAAGGTCCATGAAACTATGATCTAATCCTTTAAACCCAGGAAGCACTCAGTTATATTTAGGAAGTATCTACAACTGTCCCCTACATACATTATACATATATGAATATATGCACACACAGTCACAAACATACATAATCCCACTCTTTAATATCTACTAGAAAAGATCTTAGAGTCCTGGCATGGCACCACAGGATAAGTAATCAACCTCAAGGTCTGTTTGAACCACAAGGTTGGCGGTTCAAACTCACCAGCCGTTCCTCAGAAACTCTACACATGATCACCAAGTCGGAACTGATTTGAAGGGACTTAACAAAAACAACAGAAAAGACCTTATGGCATATTTCTAACTTGGAAGACATGTTGCTGTTGTTAGGTGCCATCAAGATGATTCCAACTCCTAGTGACTTTATGCACAACAGAACAAAATACCACCCAGTCCTGTCTAGTATGCTTACCGGTGATGCTGGTGACTACCTGGGTCTACTTGTGAGTAGAAATGGGGGACATGGCAGCAATGAAGACATGAGCTGAGTTTGATCATGTTCCATTGACACCCACTGGCCTCGAGATGAGAGAGAGGACAGCCTGGTTGATCTGAAGTTTAGGGAGATGTGTGAACTCCTGAGCCCAAGGGCACTGACCTAGCCACTGTGGATTAGAGCTAAGAGTTAAGTAGTCAGCTGACCTGAAGCGCAGAGAGGCGGTGTGAACTCCCAAACTTGTAGTTAGTACCCATTTGTCCTAACTTGGTTAGCTAGCTGACCAGAATTCAACCAGATGAAAATAAAGATGTCTGCTACTTTGAGGAAGTGTAAATTGCTAAAATTTGATGAACAGATCTTTGTTTACAGACTCAAGTGCTCAAAATTCTAACCAGAATGGAAGGATTCTCCATATGAAAGAACAAGCTTGTTTCCTCAGGGTTGATAAGGACAGGCAATCTAGATATTTACTATCAAAATTGTGGAGGCTATAAAGTCACCAAAATGGATTGGCACAGTGGCAGCAGTGATGGGCTCAGGTGTAGCAACAATTGTAAGGTTGGCCCAGGATTGGGCAGTGTTTCTTTCTATTCTGCAAAGGGTCCCTATGAGTCTGTACCAACTAGACGACATCTAACAATAACATAAAGTTACCAGCTATAAAGGCACAAAGTGGCTGGCTTACAAGCTTTTATGAGCATATTTAGTTTCAGACTGAGGAGGGTAAGGTAGATTCCCCACTGAACAGGTTTCCTCTTCTCCAGATGGATCTGGTATAAGATGATGGGGATAATGCTGACTGGATTTTATGATTCAGTTGTGATATCTGTTAGCAGGATTAATTGTGACTGTCACAACTGTAATGGTAGAATATGTGTAACTAAAAGCAGGGCGTCATCAATCTTTCATTTCAGGAACAGATGATTCCAGGACCATCAGGAAGAAAGAACATGAGTGGAGTGTGAGATCCTACCTAGAAAAGTTGCAACAGCAGAGATGGTAGCAGAAGTGAAGGCACGGAGAGATAGAGCAACTGTGGGCTCTAGGCTCATGGACTGAGTAAGGCTGTGTGCCTTGGGACAGGAGGCTGGTTTGCAGAATGTTTCCTTTGGACATTTAAATGAATATATATTTTTTTGTTTTGTGTAAGTATTTTTGCTTTGTTCATATGTGAAATGTAAGATGCAAAAGGGAAGCCACCAGGAATAGAATAACTGTTGTTGCGGGGAGGGGACTGTAATCACTGAGATGAAACAAAGTGTTATAATTTGTTGAATGTAAAACTGCTGATCTTGTCTGTTAACCTTTACTAAATTCACAATAAAAAGTTAAAAGAAAAAAAACAAAACACTACCCAGTCCTGTGCCATCCTCACAACTGTTGCTACATTTGAGCCCAATGCTGCTGTCACCATGTCAGTCCATCTTGTTAGGAGTCTTTCTCTTATTTGCTGACACTCCATTTCACCAAGCATGATGTTCTTCTCCAGGAACTGCTTCCTCAAGATAACAGGTCTAAAGTATGAGAGATGAAGTCTGTTCTGGTCTTCTTTTTTGCTGACCATCCCCTAAACCAAGAATGCGGTCTTCTCCAGGGACTGGTCCTTTGTGATATGTCCAAAGTGTGAGAGAAGCATTCTTGCCATCTCATTCCTAAGGAACATTCCTTAGAATTGTTTAAAATTGAATTTGCTTAATTTGATTCCTGGTGTGGTGTCATAGGATAAATACTAGACTATAAGGTCGGTTTGAACCACAAGGTAGTGATGGTGGTGTGCCGTGTAGTTGGTTCTAAATCATAGTGACCCTGTAGAGGGTTTCCAAGGCTGTAAATCTTTATGGGAGCAGAACGCCTCATCTTCTCCTGTGGAACAGCTGGTAGTTTCGAACTACTGACTTTGAGGTTAGCAACCCAATTCGTAACCACTATGCTAAGGTTGTTGTTGTTGTTGTTAAGTGCCATCAAGTCGGGTCCGACCCATAGCGACCCTGTACAGGGTTTCCAAGGGTGTAAATCTTTACGGGAGTAGAAAGCCTCATCTTTCTCCCGCGGAGCGGCTGGTAGTTTCGAACTGCTGACCTTAAGGTTCACAGCCCGATTCGTAACCACTACGCTACCAGAGCTCCTTAGGTGGTTCAAATTCACCAGCTGCTCCTCGGAAACCCTATACAGGGCCGTTATGAATCAGAACCAACTCGATGGCACTTAACAACAACAACAACCATAAACTCACCTACAATGGGTGGGGGGGGATGTTATCAAATAATCACTGCCATAATTAAACTTAAATTTACTGAAAAATATTTACTCCTTTTACTCTGTAAAAGGAGTCCTGGTGTGGCACTGTGCGTTAATGAGATGGACTGCAAAGTCGGTTTGAAATACAAGGTTGGCAGTTCAGGTTAACCAGCCGCTCCTCAAAAATCCTATGCAGGGTTGCTATGGGCCAGAACCAACTCAATGTCACTTAACAACAACTCTATAATAGGTATAGACTTTAACACTATATAATAAGTACACAAAGACATGCTACAGGCCCTTGGAGAGCTTAAAAATGTTTCTTATAGAAACACTGAGGACAATTATAATTTCATTTATAAAACCAAATAACTATTGATATTTAAACACATTAAGTAAAATATACATATATACGGATTCAAGGTGTGGTGCTGTAGGATAAGCACTGGACTGCTAACCATCTGGTTGGCAGTTTAAACTCACCAATGGCTCCTCAGAAACCTTACAGGATTGATGACTTGGAACCAACTCGATAACACTCAACAAAATACCACCACATATATATGGTGTTCAAACAATTCATGGAAAATGCTATTAGCTTTTAATTCTAATTTTTCCACCAAGTCTCTGAAGTCCCCTCATAACATGCACTTGGGCAATGTCTATTGTGTATATATCCTATTGCATATATTTCCTATTACAGAATATGTCCTCCTGCATATATACATCTGTGATCCCATAAGTTGGTTTTTGTTTTATTTTAGAAAGGATAGCAGCTCCCCTTTGCTTTATTATTTCCCTAGTAAACAGCAGGGCTCTAGAACACATCCCAATACCTTCAGTGCTTCTTCCTTTTCTGCTCATCCTTCCCCTCCCCTGAATTCGTTTGTCCATTCAGAGTCATGCAACCTTTTACTCAGTACAGGGCAGCACCTGCCATGGCTTCTATGCTCCTGCTGGGGCACTCCTAGGTTCCCAGTGCTGGGCAGTGCAGTACATGATCATTAAGCAGTGGTACAACAGAGTAGTGGTGACCAGGGCCATGATGATCAAACACGTTCCCAGCACCCACATACCCTGTGTGTGAAGCTACCTCTCTGTTCCCTCATTTTTTTCCTTGCCCTGCACTACAGTTGAACATAGCCCCAACCAGCCCAGCCACATACTCAGCAAGGCCAGCTTCCTGTATCCAGTAGCTATAACTCTTGGGCTTTATATGGTGGACTCCCATAAGATTTCAATATAATAGGCTATACAGTGATTTTACAGGCTTTATGGGGACAGCCTATATATAATAAAGTATGCACAAAACATCCAAATCACATAACATCCTATTTCACAGAACCTATCATATATAGGAACTCTGCTAGCGTAGTGGTTACGAATTGGGCTGGTAACCTCAAGGTCAGCTGTTCCATGGAAGAAAGATGAGGCTTTCTGCTCCTGTAAAGATTAACACTGTTCTAGTTTCCATATAACAGAAGAAGAAATGATTACAGCTATAAGAAGAAATTATTTCAACTGGTCATGAGCACTCCTAAAAGTCAATAATCACCTATACAGTTCCTGTGACAGTATTTGAGTCTCACTTGCTGGTTTACTGTATCCATTCACTTAATGTCCAACACTAGCATCTATAACAGCATTGTATTTTCTAATCACAGCAATTTTAATGATGCAATAAAGTATCAATTATCAGTTTCATTTTTAAACAGGCCCTAAAGAAGATTAAGGATCTCTGGCAGTGTAGTGATTATAATTCAGGCTGCTACTCTCAAGGTTAGCAGTTTGAAAATTTCACCGTTACATGGGAGAAAGCTGTGCTTTCTGGTATCAGAGTTGCTATGAGTCAGAACTGACTTCATGGCATGTATCCACCAAGAGAAGAATGCTAACAAAGTGATGAAAGAAAAGAGAAAGTAACGAGGGGTTTCCATTTGAATGGACTAGGTAACCTGACTGATCCTATTATTGAAACACACTACAAATTCAGATTAAGTATTTCTCAAAACATACTTTAAAATGCTCTGATGAGTTTGTGAGTAAAATATACATTAGAGAAAAAAACAAAGATTAAACAGAGAACATATTTGATACCTCATTTTGCCTTTGATCTCAAGAAACAGGGAATATACACTTAACCCATGGTGGGGAGACTACTAGGGAACTCCGAAGATGAAATTAGAGATACATCTTTTGTAGGGATTTTGATTCTATGCTTTTGTTATGTGTCTTGCCAATAAGTAAGCACATTTATATCTAGTGTCTTATCACTCTTAGTGGTTTCTGTTGATGAATAGGTATTAATTTTAATGAAGCAAAATATACTAGTCTTTTCCTTTATAATTAGTGCTTTTTGTGTCTTCTTTAAGGCAGTTTGACAAAAAAAGAAATTTAAATGGTTTATAAATCCTGGTGTAGTGCTGTAGATAAGTACAAGACTACTAACCACAAGCTCAAACCCACCAGCTGCTCCTTGAAAACTGGATACAGGGTCACTGGTTGGTAAGGTGGAGGGTCAGAGAAAAAGAGGAAGACCCCCAGCGAGATGGACTGGCAAAGCGGCAGCATCAATGGGCTCAAGCGTGGCAAGAATAGTGAGGCTGGCCCAGGGCCAGGCAGTGTTTCTTTCTGCTGTATATAAAGGTTGGTATAAGTCGGTACCAACTCTATGGCACCTAACAACAACATGAGTCAGAACTGAGTTGACAGCACTTAACAACAACAACAACAACAACAACAAAACAATAAGTAAGAGTCTCAATCTCATTAATAATATTGTTGTTGTTGTTGTTGTTATGTGCCGTGGAGTCGGAACCGACTCATAGCAACCCGTACAGGGGTTCCGAGGGTGTAAATCTTTACGGGAGTAGAAAGCCTCATCTTTCTCCCGCGGAGCAGCTGGTAGTTTCGAACTGCTGACCTTGCGGTTCACAGCCCGAGTCGTAACCACTACGCTACCAGAGCTCCTTCATTAATAATATAGGGCAATGAAAATTAAAGTTAGAGTAACAGTATCTTTTTGCTTCTACCCAACTGAGTATAACAGAAAAACAAAATGAGGAAGCAGAAAGTAACCAAAATGAATATGGAAAAAAACCCACCAAATTTAGAATTTGAAAAATCTAAAGCCTCAAAACCTAACTTATAAATTTGAAAACTATATGCTTAAACTCCTGGTGTGGCACTGTAGGATCACCACTGGACTGTGAACCACAAGGATGGTAGTTCAAAACTACCAGCTGCTCCTTGGAAACCCTATACAAGGTCACTATGAGTCAGAACCAATTCGGTGGTAATTAACAACAACAACATAACTATATGCTTACTGAAAACTTTATGCTTTGTCCCAGGGGCTTCGAAAAGTTTGTGGAAAACTAGAATGGAAAGATAATGGAAATTTTCTATGACCTTTTTAAAGCTCTCTCATATTTTTTTTTGTTCAGGGTAGAATAATATATGGCACTACAGTACACAACAAAGGGAGAAATCAAGGACTAAATGCATAAATAAATGGGGGAAATGGACAAAACTACAATGATATTAGTGTAAATTACCTTCCTGTGTTCTGACACCAGTAGCCTTAGCTGCATTTCCATTTCATTACTTGTTATTGAGGCATCTACCATAGACGCACATAGAGGCGGAAAGGGAGGAAGTGATGTTGTAGCTCCTGGGGCACACACAGATTTAATTGCTTCTTCACTCATTGGTTTCCATTTGGATTCATCATTCAAATCAAACATACACATTTCCACTAAGTCAGAGGGCTGACAATTTCCTAGGAACATCTGATGATTGAAAACACAACCAATGGTTCGATATGGGTACAAGGGCTTGGGCTGTTCAGCAAGTGGAGATTCATCAGGATTGATACATTTGTGGATGTACCTAAAATAAATTAAATCATACTTTTATATAATGAGAACTTAAAATTTAAGAAGCCAGTATCTTACTGAGAAATAAAATTATTCTAACATTTAAGACTATAACTCTTTCCTAGTAATAAAAGCTTACACTTGTTTCTCTTTCTTGTAGCTCCACAATTTAATTACTCTCTATATATTATATGGTATACCTTCTTATGGATAAAACTGATCAAAATAGCTAATCTCAGATTACAATGAAAATAACTTAGTCATAGATTTGCATAATGAGGATAACCTAGTGCCATTAGGAAGCAAAACATTTAAAGACAAGACAAAGAAAATAGAAAGATGGTAATGTCAGAGAAGCTAAGGAAACAGTACTTATCATCAAAAAACAAAAAAAAAAAGGCAATAATCAAAACGAGAAATAAATAGATTTTATTTTTTACCAATATCATGTTTATAGAGATTATTTTCTTAGAACTTATTTACATAGCTGTTTTAATGAAATAATATTTAGCAGTCATTTTAAAAGGTTCTGGTAACTAAAATAAATCTATACCTTTGAGAACCATCAATATGATCAAAGTATCCATAATTTAAATCACTGACATCTTCCTTTAAATTTAGCTAACCTGTGTCCTGTTAAACTCTCCCAAAAAGTGATGGTACCATCAGTTCCACAAGTCAGAACCCAAGCATGAGGTACTCCTTTGGCCTTTGTACCAACACAGACAAAAGCTTCTAATCCATATCCAAGAAGAAGGCTGCACAGAAGGTTAGCGTGGTCTTCACAGTCACCCTAGAAAATGACATGAAGCTAAATGAAGGACTTACTTCTCATATATTCATTAAAGTATTTAAATATCAAGTTACAATAAAAATTTTAGATATTAGTATTTTAGATACCTAGCGTAGTGGTAACAAACCGGGCTGCTAACCTCAGGGTCAGCAGTTCGAAACTACCAGCTGTTCCGCAGGAGAACGATGAGGCTTTCTTGCTCCCATAAAGATTTATATCCTTGGAAATCCTGTACAGGGTCACTATGAGTCAGAACTGACTTCACGGCACATAACAACAACAACCAGTGTTGTTATAATAGAAATATCACAAATGGATGGCTTTAACAAATAGAAATGTATTCTCTCATAATTTAGAAAACTAGAGGTCCAAATTCAGGGCACCAATTCTATGTGGAAAGCTTTCTCTCCATCAGCTCACAGTTTAGGAGTAAGGTCTCCTCCCAGCATCTGTGGACCTGGCATTCCTTGGAGAACTACACGTATCGTGGCATCACTGTCCCCTGGGATGAGTAGGTTCTTAGCACAGGAATCTGGCATTCAAAGGATGGGCTCTATTCCTGGTTGTTCTTTCTTAGTGGCACTGAGGTCCCTCTTCCTCTGTTTTTACTTGTGTAATCTCTTTTATATCTTAAAAGAGATTGACTCAAAATACAACCTAATTCTAGAGATTGCATCCTACCTCATTAACAAAACTGCCACTAATCCTACCTCATTAATACCATAGAGGCTAGAATCTACAACATATAGGAAAATTATATCAGATTACAAAATATATATACATAATACTGAGAATCAAGGCCTATCCACATCGGCACACACTTTTACAAAACAATTCGATCCACAACAGCAAGGTTTCCCCCTTTAATCATTAGTTACATGAGAAAAAGAAAGAATAAACTAATTTTAGGATTATTAAAAAGTTAGTCCTCACCAATCAGATAACCATAACATGTACACTTTAATAAGGGAAATCCAGATCCAAAAGTTTATAAAGAACACATACACTTTAGAAAGAAAAAAGTTAAGATTTCAGATGAACAGCTAATAGACAAACAGACAAATTTACCAAATCACACATGCTACAGCGTCACCAGGGCAGCTGATCACACATCAGGAAACACAAATAAATATCAAAATACTAAAATAGAAATTAAAACAAATTACAGTATTTATATCTAATTTCAAACAAATACATACGTAAGAAAATTTTTGGAGGAAACACACCAAAATGCCATTAAAAGTTGTTACTGTGGGTTCACATGCATTTTCCAAATTCTCTTTGATA